AAAAAAGTTGCGGTTTTTCCGCCGGGATTACAACTTTTGTTATATTTTAATACGTCCACCAAAATATTTCGGAAAAAAATTAAGAGTTAAGCGAGCTGGACCGATTTGAAAATACATCCAAACATGGAGTTTTTAAGAATAAAAATTGTTTCTTAAAGAACTTTTTGAAAGAAGTCCCCTCAGATGACTAAACAGATTAGGCTTAAAAAATCTGCATGAAAATATTTAAAAATCTTTTCAACGGAATTGTAATAATGAGATTTTTGATGCTGTTTTTTTTACTTTTTTCAAAGATTGATTTACAAAAAACTTAAATAACTGGGCCAAAACTATTGTGATTTAGACTTCTGGGGTCTCGGTAGAAAGGAATTTTCCCACTATTTTTATTTATGTGCAAAAAAAAGTTATTCGTGTCCCAATTTTTTTTTTTCAAATACCAACACATCTTAGATCAACTTTGAATGATGTTCGTTCATCCTACCTTTCTCTTTCATTCTTTGCATGAGCTTATTAGCAAAGAAATAAAAAGGGTGAGAAAATACCTTTCCAATGAAACTTCACAAGTCTAAATCGGAAGAGTTTAGGTTCAGTTATTCAAGTTTTTCTTATACCAATCTTTGAAAAAAAGTTAAAAAACAGCATAAAAAATCTCATTATTACGATTCCGTTAAAATTTATTTATGTAAAATTTTTAAGCTTAAGCCGTTTTGTCATTTGAGGGGGTTTTTTCAAAAAACATCTTTAAGAAACTAGTTTTATTAATAAAAAACTCCATTTTTGGAGGTATTTTCAAATCGGTCCAGCTCGCTCAAATCTTAATACTTTTCTGAAATAACGTCTTAAAATATAATAGAGTTTATAATTCCAATGGAAAAACTGTACCGATTTTTTTTTATCTAATATACATACATATCTGAAAATATGCGTTAGCAAAAAAATTCGAATACAGGGCACCCTCAGTAATCGCGACTCTCGATCAATGTGAAATCTCGATTTTCGCGAAGCACTATTTTTAACATTGCAACCTTTAAACGTTAGTCATCTGTTTGGCGAACAATCAGGCTTATTAATTGCATGATGAAATCTCCAAAAACGTAAATTTTTAATTACACCTGTTTATTATATATTAAACGTGCGATATGTAAATATGTACATATACGAAATAAAATGCAAGTTTATAAAATAAATGCATGTATGAAATTGATGGCTGGAATTTGGTTGTTTTTCTCTTAAATTTTATAATAAAAAAGGCCCAGTAATCGCGACAACCTCGGTTATCGCAACCACCACTGATTTTAATCTGTCGCGATTACCGAAGGGGTACTGTACTTGCAATTTTCATACATTTCATGGCTTAACTTATATTTCCGATGTCTTTTGCAGGATACTCATTCCTTGTTACTTGGATAACGTCATTTGTGATGGTCATAGTTCACGAGCGCGTGCCTGATATGAAACGATATCCGCCATTGCCAGACATTTTTCTCGACAACGTACCGCACATACCTTGGGCATTCCATATGTGCGAGATCACAGGCACGTTGCTGTTCCTAATCTGGAGCTGCGTTTGCATCTTTCACAAATACCGCCTTGTACTTTTGCGACGATTCTTTGCTCTCGCTGGCACAGTGTTTCTTCTTCGATGTGTCACAATGTTGATAACATCGTTGAGTGTGCCAGGCACTCATTTGCAGTGCAATCAGAAGGATTACGCAGTTGATGATACGGAGTAAGTGAATCAATGCGATTTTATATTTTGATAATGAATTGGAACTTCTATTATTTTCTACTATTATATAATTTCTTGGAGATATTTTAACATAAATAAAAACACCTGATGTGCCAAAAACTTATTATTGCTTTTGATTCCATAGCACCCCGGCTATACAACTATTCTACCATATTATGCTATCGCGGCTATATTAAAATTAGAGAAGAAATAAAATGTAACATCGTTACAGAAAGTATTTTTCATATTTGTATTAAGGCGTGGGGGGAAACCCGCTGGAAAACGCTAGTCCGCTATATAACTCAAAAACATTAAATTTTGAGTTGCGCCGTTACTGCAAATGTAAATGTAATTAGAAAAGTTTTTCCTAACAGCCGTCACCCTCAGCAAGCAATGGCAAACCTCCGAGTGTATTTCAGCCAAAAAAAAA